CCCTCAATGGAGCTATCCCTTCTCCTCCATTTCTCTATTCCCTTGGGGCACACACAAGCACACAGAGTGCTTTTCAAGCCATCTGGGGCAGAATTCGAACCATGGTCAGCCACGTGGGGTCTGGCTTCCGGAATCACTAAGCTACATAGCCAGCTCTGTGTTAACTTTGGAGAGGAGGTACACAGAAAGGCTCAACCCTGAGTGGGAAGAGCCTGGTGACCAGGCTCCACCCAGACTGGAGAGTCTGGGAGAGGAATACTCTCCACTTTGGACACAAAATGAAAGAAAAACCTTCCTAGAAGAAAGGATTAGACCAGGAGCAACTTTTGGTTGTTGCAGTCTTTAAGAAATTAAACATTAGACGGCAGAATCCCATTTAGCCTCCATGCACATGCAGAAGTCAGAGGCAAGACTGAAAGGGTCATGATCAATTCTGGAACCCCTCAGGTCTATTACCCCGGCTTATTTTCTGTATTGAGTCCCTGTCAAGTTTTCAATGGCTCCGCAGAAAGGTATTGATACTGTGGTTACAACAACCAGCCAGACGAGGCCCCTGTGCCCACAGGGCCTGGTCTTCAGGCTCAGGAACCCCAGGGACAATGGCTACCAGGCCAATTGTGCCAGGCTGTGGTATACAGTAGCTGGAAGCAGGGCTTTCCTTGGCCCAAGCAGAAGCTTCAAAGGGGAGGGATGAGAAGTTAAGGCCTGCCTAACTTTATGAGGCCTTTGGGTCGATCTCGCAATTACTTGACCTAAGTGCACTCATGTCTGTGCCTGCCGCCTCCCGCCCTTCTCTCTCAACCTGGGCCTGGCTCAGTTCATGAGCCCGGGGTGCCTGTTCTGCGGCAAACCTCCTGCCACCGGAACAGCAGTGTAGATGATCAGTGACAACCACTGGGTCCTCTGGGCGGGAAGGCGCAAGTGTGATGCACTGCTGGATGATAAACTGCACCCGCAGCGCGTGGCAGGACTAATTAGCTATTAAGGGGCTTTGTCAATGTTTGCTCAGAATGTGGGCATGACAGTCAGGTAGCGACTCCTGTCTGGTCTGACTGCAGTCTGGAAGGCTTTCTGCTGTCAGCCCTGATTGCATTCAGAGGTGGGGTATGTCCAGTGGTGCTCTCCATGCAGGACACAGCAGACTGAGGAAGGAGAACAGATTGAAAGGGAATCGGACAAGGAGCTGAGTGGAGTACGGCAGATGTGTGCACATAATACACCTGTTCTGGGGAGTGCAAGGCAGCGAAGAGCTAAGCGAGGGAACCGCGACAAAGATGAAAGATGCATCACATCTGTCCCAGAAAGCAAAACCTCAGACAAGTCAGCTGACCTCTCGGGGCCAAAGCGCTCTGTCAGACACCTGTTTACAGTGGATATGGAAGCACCTGGAGAAGCAACCCATGCAGGCCATCAGGGCTGCAAAGTCCAGCTGGCGCTCTTGGCTGGGGGCGCTTTTACCCCAGAGGGGCATTTGGTCACGTCTGGAGGGCTATCGTGTACTTGCAGAGCATCCCTTCTCCCAGCAGATGACCTTGCATCCCGAGGTCTCTAGTGCTGCAACCCAGAGCTCCAGGAGCCAGCTGAGGTCTGCATTTTAGATGATGCAGGATTTAGGCAGAGCTGAGCTCCTCCTCATATGAAAAGTGGGGGTAATCTGACCCATGCTGCTTACCACACTTTATAAGGTGCACTCCCCAAATAACACAGGGCACCTGGGTATAAAGGCTCTTTCCTGAGCTTTTCATACTTTGAAATCTGCACAAGACTAAAATATCTACACAGTGACTGGCATATAGCAGGCAGTCAATAAATAAGAGAGAAAAACCGCATGCTGGTGGATAAAAAGGCATCCCCCCCATCCTCCACCCAGTTTCCTTCGTATCTCTAGACCTCCTTTTCTGTCTAACCGTTCTGTAAAGTTCTATACAGGTACGGGGCAGGAATGTTAGCAGAAGCTGTCTCAAAAGTGTTGGTGGTGGTGTAGTTTGGATAATGGTTTGTCCTCCAAAGGCCCATGTTTTGGAATTTGGATGCCCTTCAAAATCCATGTGTTGGGATTTGATTATGTTAAGTGAAAATTTAATTCCGCATGGTGTTCTAGGATGAGACTTTTGGTGTAATAATGTCATTAGGGCAAGAGCTCCATGATTTTCTGATGCATTTAACAGCAGAGGGAATGAGACCAGAACAGCAGAAAGACCACACTCTACGCTGCAAAAAGTTCTGCCTTCTGCCATTTTGTGATGACTTGGGATTTACCAGCCACCAGAACTGAGTCAAAAATAAACCCCTATTCTCTGTTTGTCTGCTCTCAGATATTTCTGTTAGCAATGCATTAATAGACTAAGACAGGAGGGATCAGAGATAGGACTAACCATACCCTGAGGACAGACAGCTGACAAAGGAGATTGGGAAGCTTTGCCAAATCTCAAAGGACTACCTCCCAGCTCCATGCAGGAGTCCTCTGCTTCCTGCCCTACTGGACAGAAACCAGGGTGGTAGCAACCCCAGGGTCTCAGCTCAACTGCAAGGTGAGCCTTTTCAGAGAGCTGCTACCATTAACACTTGATGGGACTTGGTGGGTCTTGGGACAGGAGGCAGCTAAGCCAGAATCAAGCCCCAAGAGTACTGCTTCATCTTGTTCCTTCTGGAGCCTCTCCAACACGACCAGCCTGTGAAAGCTGCTGTGCAGGGGCCAGGGCACGATTTACCCTTGAATTTGCCATCTAGCTGGGAAGACCAGATGTATCCCTGAGATCCAGGGAGTGAGAGCTTATTCCACAAAGTAGTGCATGTGCTGGATTAGAGGGCAGATGCACTAAAAACCTGAGAAGCCAAGAGGCAGTGCAGAGCAGAGCAGGCTGGAACTGAGGCAGACAAGTGAACACTAGAGCTGCATTTTATGACTTCAAGATCCTCAGCAGTCTTTGGACTAGTCTCTTTTCCAAGCATTTCAGAGCTGGAAGCCATCTTGTCCAAACCTCTGTAAGGATGAGGAGCCCTGCTTGGAAGGCCAGGATATTTCCCACTACACAAGGTGGCTTCCTCTTCAACATATAGTCTCCCCTTCATTTCTGCAGAAAGTGAAGAAAAACCTCATTGTGGCACATGGGGAAACTGAGGCTGAAAGGAAGGCTTGGATCAAGGCTGCAGAGTCTTGGTACTTCTGATCTAAGATCCTCCTAGATCAGATGCCAGAGGACAGAGGGACTGAGGGCTGCCTCTCTATAGGATAGGAACAAGAAGTCAGTTGCTTTCCAGACCCTCTCCGTTGCCCCAAGGTATCAACCCTGTGTACTGAGGGTGGTCTCTT